ACTACGTCCTCGTCCCGTCCTCTACTACGTAACACGACGTAGAACCGTTTACGTTGTAGCTTTCTTCTCTAACCCACTCTTTATTATGTATTCTTCTTCTCACTCTCTCTCTCTCTCTCTCTCTCTGTCTCTCTCTCTCTCTCTCTCTTTTCTTTCACCGTCTTCTTATTCTTGCCCTTTCATAGACTGAGAATTGATGATTTTGAGGACGTTGGTTCAGGTCAGGGACTTCATTCGCTCTGCTTTATACGACCCAAACTATGGATATTTCTCTACAAGGTCTGGTTCTGTGGGGTTTCTCCCCAAAAGCATCAAGTTCAACCAGCTTGAAGGTATACACGAGATTGAATTTAAAATTTTCCTGCAAATTTGGGATTTTTTTGTTTCTGAAAGAACTACAAATTATTTCATAATGTTATTATTATTTTGTTTATTTCTCTGAGAATATATAACTTCCATTAGGATGGTTGCTTTGGAAATTACTGGTTTGCATTATTTTATAAAAGGCCAATGAATTAGCTTTGAAACTCTCTCTCTCTCTCTCTCGTTTGCTCTCCTTTGAACCGACATTCAGAAGAAACATGTCCTCCAAATAATGTTTCTTCGTGGTAGGTGGTGAAATTATGTATCAATGAATGGGCATGAGAATAGCCTCCATTTTGCGCACCCAGAGCTTGCCAGCTTCGAAGTCACTTTATTTACTTCTTTAGTGAGATGGGAGATTTGAACTAGCATGGGAAATGCATATTATCATCGTTATGATCGAGGGGGTTATAGGTTTACCGTTATCTGAAGAGGGGGTTATAGGTTTCTTCGTGGTAGGTGGTGAAATTATGTATCAATGAATGGGCATGAGAATAGCCTCCATTTTGCGCACCCAGAGCTTGCCAGCTTCGAAGTCACTTTATTTGCTTCTTTAGTGAGATGGGAGATTTGAACTAGCATGGGAAATGCATATTATCATCGTTATGATCGAGGGGGTTATAGGTTTACCGTTATCTGAAGTTGCTCTAATTAAGTGAATGACCTTCATGTATTGCCCTCAACATAAGTAAGGCTCTGATGAGATGGAACCTGTTTATTCCTTGGAGGCTCGACAATACATCAAATGAGATAAAACAAGGCATGACTAGAAGTCTAAGGGGCACTGATAGGTTCTCAGTCCATCAACTTTCCTTCCTTTTGGTCGACCCACTAGTAATGAAACATATTGGTGCCTGTGTACCATAGATAACTTCATTTTGGACATATATCGGGACGCCTCTCGTTCAATGCCTCATTAGATTAACTTTAAATGTTTGTTTTAACTGCATTCCTCATTTGCCTAAAAGTTTTTAATGGAGTGAGGCTTCAGACAACTAGGAAGATGTCAAAGTGAAGTGTTCTAAAGTCTTATTTGACTAAGGGGTCATTATGACCTTAAACCAATCAATGGCCAGGTCTTTGGGAAGAATACGGCACAAACCAAATATGAGCATGGTTGCACAAAAGCTTTGATTACAAAAGAAATGAAATAGAATACTAGGAAGATCTCTCATCCTACAGTATCCGGATGGTCCTTTATTGTTATTTTCATTGTTATGCTTGTCATTTCAGCATTTTGTTTTGATAAATAACTTTTTTCGTCTCACTGTTGAGACCTATTTATTCCATTCAAACCAAATCCTTTCATAAGGATAGAGTTTCTTATCATAGCTTCCTTTTTTCCTATTTTTGAGGATGAATATTAGCATGGAGCCTTTGAGCTTTGCCATGAGCTTATTAGAAGCATTTGTGTGCATCCACCTGTTTATAGAGACCTTTAAGTCACGAGGGTCCCAAAGGTGGAGCCTTCTCTCTGAGAAAGCTCGACTTAGTTCATTATGTGATTAGTTGATTTGTGCTTTCTCATAAAGATACTTGATTTTGCTTTCTCGTAAAAAGGAAGTGCATCCTCGGGAACTTGATTTCTCAATTTCTAGATGGCCGTAAGTCAAGAACACACATTTAAGCATAAAAAATGAATAAGTTGCTGCATTTTACAGGGTTTGCCTCCGTAATCTACTCATCTGAAAAGTGAGGAACTAGCGTGCTTGCATATGAAAGTACCTGATGTGTTAATTGATAAAATCTGTCAGTCCTTTCTGATTGTTTCGCTAAATGAAATGCAGCCACAAATACTCTTAGATATTTTACTGAAAAGGGCATGCACCAACACTGCTGAGTATATAGAGGGAAAATGAACAAGGAGGAAAGAAAAGATGGGATGGGACAATGCTATCAATTTTCATAGTTACAAGGAAACATAATCTTCATTCAATTAAACAATTGTGATCTTGGCTTGTGTACACGTCTAGAGGTTACAAAATTGAAATGCTTGCTTTTACAGGTGTTAAGTAATCCTGCCCTCCTATGTATAGAACTGCATAATATGTAGAATAAGACCATGCAATCACTCTTTAGTCATAATCTAACACATCCAAAATTGAAAGGTTAACCAATGTAAAAATGTTTCCCCTCTAGGAGAAGATCAGACATTTAAGTTTTGTAGTGACGCTTAAAAGAAAATGCTAGCGGATGGAAGGAAGGGATATCACTCCTCGATAAAATGTGTGCACGTGTGTGTTGGAGTGATATGCGTGTTGGGCACATTTTGGTGCGTCTTATGTGGTCATGTGTCTCAACACATCAGATATGCCATGAGACACAACTCATACATGTATATGGCGTGTCTTTAAAAGAATTGTTGTCAGACATGTCATTGTTCATCATCGACACATGTTTCAGACGCGTGCCTCTTGGTGTGTCTTCAGTAGACATACATGTCCATAACTCTAGATAGACCTGCTTGTCACTTAAACACGTATGTCGCTAACTCTAGATGCCATGTCTGCAATACTGGGGACACACGTCCTTTTTTAGTTAATTTTATTATTAGAAGTTAAAAAGTAATTGTGTGTGTGTGTGTGTGCGTGTGTTGTATACAAAGCTATATATGCACATGAAGGCATTTATACAAACTTGTGCGGCGCATCATGTCCTGCACTCTACTTTATGAGGACCAATGTCAGACACAAGATGCGCATGTTTGAAGCAGATAGGCACATTCGTGACCTAGCAACATATAGGGGTGTGTGTGCTGTGTGTACGTGCATGTGTGCGTGCATACTTCCCCACATGTGTGTGGTCCTGCATGCCTATGTGCGTGCACTTGTGTGTGCGTGTGTGTATGCATGTGTGTGTGCATGTTTGTGTGTGCTGCATTCATGCATGTGTGTGTGTGCATGCGCGTGCATGTGCATGTGTGTGTGCGTGTGCGTGTGCGTGTGCGTGTGCGTGTGCGTGTGCGTGTGCGTGCATGTGTGTGCGTGCATGCATGTGTGTTGTCTTACCCATAGTTAGCAAGACTCCATGTAAAATGCTACTTTTATAAAATGTACTCCAATTTTTTGGAAATTTTTTTAAGAGACATGATTTTTATAATAGTTTCAAAATCTCAATTCTTGAAAACAATGAAACTGTACCTTATTATATCATTTTATAAAAGAAATTCTGAAGAAAAATCTTAAATATTGTTTTAAATTTATTCTTTGTTGTTATATTTGTCAATTTGCAATTGGATATATCTCCCTTCAAGCACCAAGTAGGTGTTAAAGTGGTTTATTGCTAAACTGTTTACATTTCCAACTGAGGTTCTTTCTTTTTCCTGAAAGTTAGTACAATAATTGACCCTCCTATTACGTACTCACATACACTCCCATGTACACCCTTTTTTCACTCCCTTTTTTAGTCAAATTCTAACCAGTAACATTTTTCGCTCAATGATTATATGACATGCTGTTTTTCCTTTTAACCCATTTTTTTACTTTGGTTTTCTGGACAAAAACAGAGTTAATACTGACTTTTTGGTTCAATGATATATTGCCATGCACGTATTGCTAACCATGGTCCTGCTCAAGTTTCTGTTGATGTTCCTGTTCTGCTCTTTTGATATTTCAGGCAGGAGTGCTTACATGCAGTACCTGAGTGACATTTACAAGGAAAACGACATAGCATGGTTTACCCCAGTTGAGCTTTTTAAGGTATAGATATTACAGTATATCTGCTTGATTATGGCATCAACTTGATTAATCTATGTAACTCTTGGTTCAAACTTTTAAAAAAATAAAATAGAATTCTTGATTCAGATGGCATCTTGTGGCACAAACTCAAAAGGTACTTTTCAATTTTCAAGTTAGAACCAAGCATAGTTCTGTAAAATGTTTTTAGAGATGTTCTTAGTTCTAATGGGCAAACACATAGAAGTTCTATTGAATATAACAGATGACTTATGGACCTACTCTTGAGCTTAGAATGGTGGACTCTATACTACAGATCTGTCACATTACTTATGGAATGTGGAGTTCCTTCAGACTGACTTTTCACTACTCTGCTTAAACTATAAATGATGTTTTGAATTCTGAATACAACTGGATTGAAAGAAAGATACCACCAGGAAAATATGAAAAATTACAAAAGGAGAAAAAATGTCTGGTCTACTTCCATTGCACATGACCTTCTTTGACTTTGGTGAGAAGTCTTCATGCACTGGAGCAGCCCCACCATCCACTAGCACCATCTGTTTTCTGGATACACAAGGGTTACAAGCCTTCTAGAACTCTATTCCCATTTGGACCAACGGTTGATGGTAGTTATGCATCCTACATATTGCGTGAGTTATATTGCTTTCATGTAATTTATGTTCTAAAGAAGTATTGCGATCCTTTAGATCATTCTTTAAAGTTACTCTATTGGTTCTATATTTTGCTGCTTGACTTGGGATCAACAATAACTTTATATTATCCATGTACTAGAATAGTCCCCGTCTTTCAAGAGTTTCTTTGCTAGGGTTTATTTCTGTCAATCAATTTGAAGGCCTTACTCTAATCCCTGATGACCTTTTCTTCTTTAAGGTTTCCAGAAGTTGTGTGTTACCTTATCATCATGTTTGATGCCTATTTGCTGTGATGTTTTCTATTGTCCTAATTTTTTATTCAGGTCTGAGTAGATTTTACCTTACTTGCAGCCTTGGTATGCCCATGCTATTGCGGAAGCCATACTGCGTACTGCCAATCTTTCAGTTCCTCTAAAAGTGAGCAACCTTTCATTAACCTAGTTGTGCATTGGCATATTTAAGAATGTCTCTGTAATTATGCATTGACATATTTGAGAATATCTCTGTAATTATGCATTGTAGTCATTGGCATCCAATGTTTTGAAATTCCTTTTGAGAAAAGGTGAACTTTTATTTTTATTTTTTATTTTTTTGGTATTATAAAGATTGCAAGGTTATCCCAGGATATGCTCGTGGTTATGGATGACTGCCCAAAGAAATGCAAGAGAAAGAGTGAAACTAATAGGTGTCCAAGAACTGGGTGGGAGTTTGGAACAAGATAACATAGACTTATTTAGGGATAAATTGGTAAAAAAAAGAAAATGGAATTTAGAGCACGAAGTTAATTTTATGTGGAATGAGATGGTCAACTGTATTAAGAAAGTGGCCAGTGAATTTTTAGGAGAAATTAAAGGGAAAAAGAATTTCAGCAAAGAAACGTGGTGGTAGAGTGAGAAGGTTCAGAAGGCTATTAGTGAAATAGGATCATGTTATAAAGCTTGGCAATGTAATAAAAATGATCAAAACTTAGAAGAATATAAAGATGTTAAGAAAAATGCTAAGAATAGTAAGGCTAAACTTATAGCATATGATAACCTTTACAATAAACTGCGGACAAGAGAAGGTGAAAAGATGGCTTCAAGCTAGCAGAAATGAGAGCTAGGAAGTGTAGGGATCTAGATCACATTAGATGTATTAAGACCGAGGATTAGATGATTATTGTAAAAGATGACAAGTTCAATGAAAGGTGAAGAATTTATTTTAAAAATTAAATAACGAACACTATAGTGGTACACTATTAGAAGGACCATTTGACATATATAAGGGCAGAGGTGATAGTTACATTTGTAGGATTAAGACACTTGAATTGAAAGAAGCTTTGAGAAAGATGAATATAGGAAAGGCTTTAGGACCAAATGGTATCCTGATAGAGATTTGAAAGTGCTTGGGGGAGATTGGCATATGCTGGTTTACCAAGCTATTCAACAAAGTGTTGAGAGTAAAAAAAATGCAGACAAACGAAGAGAAAATACTCAGATAGTTATTTACAAGAACAAAAGATACATGCAAAAATTATATGAACTATCGAGAGATTAAACTTATGAGCCACACTATGAACTGTGGGAGAGGGTGGTTCAGCAACGACTAAGGCGTGAAATGAGTGTTTTAGAGAATCAGTTCAGTTTTATGCCAGGGAGGTCAACTATCAAAGTCATTTTTCTACTTAGGTACCTGATTGAGAAGTTTAGGGCGAAGGGAAAAGACGTCCACATGGTCTTTATTGATTTAGAGAAAGCATATGATAGAGTACATAGAGACTTAGTTTGATGAGTGTTGGCAAATAAAGGAGTTACCAGAGGCTATATTAACATAGTGATGGGTGTTGGAAAAGAAGGAAGTAACCAGAGGCTATATTGACATAGTGAGGGATATATATGAGGGAGCGTTAACTAGCGTGCAGGCAACTGGTAGACAGACAAGTGAGTTTTCAGTGACAATGGATCTACTTCAGGGATCAGCGCTGAGCCCATATCTCTTTGTTTTGGTTATGGATGAGTTAACCATGCACCTATAAGATGAGGCCTTGTGGTGCATGTTGTTTACGTATGATATAGTTTTGATTGATGAGACTAGAGGTAGCGTCAACACATAGATAGAATGTTGGAGGGATACTCTAGAATCTAAAGGTTTTTAGCCGGACTAAGACATAATACATGGATTGCAAGGTTAATAATAACAGGAGTAGAAATGAGGAAGTAGTTGAGATTGATAGTCAAGACATACCTTAAAAAGATTATTTTCGATATCTAAGGATGATAATCCAGGAGAATGGAGAGATTGATGAAGATGTCTTACATAGAATTAGAGCTGGATGGGCGAAGTGGATGTGTTTATTCGGAGCTTTATGTGATCATTGCATACCATTGAGATTGAAGGGGAAGTTTTATAGGATGGTTGTAAGACGAACTATACTTTATAAGACGGAATGTTGGGCTGTCAAGAAACAACATATAAATAAGATGAGCGTATGAGATCAGGATGTTGAGATGGATGAGTGGCAAGATAAGAAAGGGTAGAATTTGGAATGAATACATACGAGATAATTTAGGTGTGGCTCCAACAGGCAATAAGATGAAGGAAAATAGCCTTAGCTGGGCTGGCCATATGCAGTGTAGGCCTAATACAACACTTGCTAGGAGGTGCGATTTGGTTCAAATAGAAGTCTCTAAACGATCAAGGGAAAGGTACAAAAGGACATGGATAGAAGTAGTGAGAAAAGATCTGACGACTTTTGGTCTTACTGAGGGTATGACCCTTGATAGAGAAGAATGGAGGAATAGGATTCATGTAGCTGACCCCAAATAATTGGGATAAGGCTTGGATGATTATGATGATTTTTTTCGTATTGTATGTAGTGATTCAAAAAGCGGACTGCCCAGCACCTAGGCGGTATAGAAGGCCTGGGCGCATCGCCCTGGCTTAGGCGGCCAATTTGGGCGGCAGTCCCTGGGCAGCCACCTAGGCGGTAAGGAACCCGCCTAGGCGGGCACCAAGCGCCCAGCCCAAGGCGGCACCTAGGGCCTGTGCCCCGCCTAGGCGGGCGCCCTCGCCTAGAGGCGGAATTATTTTTTTTTGTAATGATTTTTTTTTTTAAATATAGAGGGTTAGAATGATGGTTTTAAGTTCATTTGAAACCTAAAACTTATTGGAGCCCATTTTAGAGAGAGAAAGCCTCCAAAAAACTAGTTTTTGGTGATTTCTTTAGGATCGAAGGGTTTCTCAAATTTGACAAAAATTGATCAAAACATCACCCATTGATATTACATTTAATTTTTGATGTTTTATAAATCTATTGGGGTTTTTTTTAGAAGATTTTGAGTCCTTCGAAGCATCTTTGAGGTGGAAGTTTGAAGATTGAGCAATCAAACTCAAAGTAAGTGCCCTAAATACCTAATTTTTATTTTTTATACTATATACCCTTTTTTTATTCAAATGGGCATCCTTTTTGGATTCGACGGGGCCGCCTAGGTTCTGGGCGCTCGTCTGGGCGCCCGCCTAGGCGTTGGGCAGCCTGGACCCCTCAGGCCGCCTAGGACCTGCCTCGCACTTTTTGAAACACTAATTGTATGCTGTTTCATTTTTCCTGTCATGTTTTGGCATGTGGGACTGAAAACATCTCTGTTGATTGGAAGTATGAATCTGAAAATGCTTGTAAATTTTTTTACATTAGCCTATAGGTTAAATAACTTCCTCGATATCAGTTACTGTGATCTTAGAATAGTGTTGGCATGTTCCTCTGGAACCATATACTATAGCAAATTTTATCATTTAGCAGATTTCCTTAGAGTGTCTGTCTTCTTAGCATATGGATGGATTTTGCATGAAGTCCCATTTCCTTACTAGCTCATCTGATATATTTATATTATTGCTATTTCAATTATCATAAAAAAAGTTAAGCTGCTGATCTGATATATTCTTTGTGTTGTTGCTTTTATTGAGTTACTGATCGTGAGTCGTGGCATATTCAACTCATCTGGAATCTGGATCTTCAAGAGTTTCCTGTTTGATGTTTGTTGTGATCTTAGATCCTTGCAAGGACTAGAATCTAAAATATTTCTTGCTTCCTTATCTGAATGCGGCAATCTTTTATCTTATTATTACTGTGAAGTCTACTGGCTGATTTGTTGACTATTTATTCTTTATTAAACTTCATCCTGTAACGGGTAAAGTTTAAGACTAATTGACAAGATGCTACAATTTGTGGGTCAGATATATGAAATTGGTGGCGGGTCAGGAACATGTGCCAAGTGTATAATGGATTACATGATGTTGAATGCCCCAGCAAAAGTTTACAGTAATATGTCTTACATGTACGTATACCATTTATTCTTTTGTATGTTTTTAGTAACTTTTTATGCCCTATGCTATTGTCATATGATTGCTATACTCTGGTTGAAAATGGAAAAGGCGATGGTAAATGGCATTGGGCAATAAATATTTGATGGGGTTACATAAAATGAATACAATTAGACAATACTCGTCGAGGTCAGAATACATACTTAATGGAAAGAAAAGGAAATAATTGCTCTTTTGAAACTTGACCAGAATTTGCTGGAAGACTGCGATAGAGGTTGGTATGACCTAACATGAAATATATCTAGTTTGTGGATGCTCCAATCCAGAGCTTCTATATTAGAACTCATATCAGAAAATTTTTCATACCAAACTGATCCTATTGCATTTTTAAATTTTGCTTGAAATATTGCTGTAACCTTCTGGTACCAGTAATGTTGATCAAATTTCAACTGTTTTAAAACACCAGTAGGTCTTTAAAAATGGTACCCACTGGAATGTGAATCATTCTTCTTTATGTGATATTTTCATTAACATATCTTCTCACTTCTGGTATTAGTTTAGTGTTTTTGGTGATATTTTACTTTCTGATAGGGTTTTTACCTGATTTAATACTTAATTGTCACCTGGAGGGCATTGGTGAGTAGAGGAGCATCTAGCCTCCGCACTAAAAAGATTCCATGTTTGGGTTGGATGTGAGGGACTGGATTCTGGAGAGTTATGGATGAAAGGGAGAGATAGATGGGGCAGTCCTTGTATGTGAGCTGGTCGAAATGAGGTTGACTTAGTTGACAAAGGAAGGTGGGGAGGGATCGAAGGGGTGAGGAGAGTGCTCCTAGACTGATATGTGTTTAGACTATTAGTACATTCATGTGGTTGAATTACTCATGGCAATATCTGTTCTTATATTTATGGGGAGAAGAAACTCCACCATGGCCGGTCCCGAATTCGGATGAGAACGGAGTAGGGTTGTGTTAGGTTGGCAGCCAGTATAAAACTTTTGCCACATCTCTATATGAATTATATGACGCCAACTAGTTGGGATAAGGTTTAGATGATGAAGATGATTATTTGTGGGGAGAAGACTCTAGTAACATGATAAAGTGGTTGGAGCTATCTTGGGTTTTGTTTCGAGCCCCTCACTTTATTGAGGAGGAAAGGAGAGATAAACTGGATAGATTACAAGGGATTGAAGTGGTGAGGCAGTGTTCCTTGTTTGAAATGTTTTGAGAGCATTGGTGTACTATGTATTTATTCTAGCGTTTGTAGTGGGAGGAGCTTAAATGACTTGATGATGGTTTGGAGTGCTTATCCAGGAAAATTTAGATGGTCCATGACTGTGTCAATGCATCACATATAGAAGGTAGGGATGGGTTCACTGACATTTTTGTCTTGGACTAGGAGGATTCTGGTGGTTGATGGGAGAGTTACGTTTTCTGTGGTGGATCTGTTGATCATGGAGTGTGTCTGATTTTCAAGACAGATAGGATTGAATCTCTTAATTTCTTTTTGTTCGAGTTTCTGGTGAGATGTTTGAGGCTGCTTCCAATCTAGAGCTTTACCATCATGTATTTCTGAAGTTCTTAGTGTCGATTTGGAAGATAGCTGAGGGGCATGTTTCTAGAATTTTGCAAGAAATGGGGGATGTACTATTGTTAGATTTTTGAAGTGCCTTCTTAGTGGTTATTGCTCTCTGTAGACGTCAATGTGTTTAGGCCCCATCAAGTGCATGCATATGCTTTGAAGAATTCTGTATACATGGATAGAGTGCATCTTTGCAGCATTGTAAGTCGTAGTCAACCTGTGTACATGATTTCTTAGATGAAATCTGTGGGTGTTCTTGCTTGGGTCATGGTTAATTTTTTCATGCTTGTAATTATAGTCTTCTTGCTTCTCTTCCACCCCCCAAGGTCTCTGTAAGTTTAAATATCTTGTTGAATTGTACCTGTCCGTGTTTTGTAGATCAGTGGAAATCAGTCCAGCACTCGCAAGAAAACAGCTTGAAACCATTAGTGAAGTTAGTAGTCAATCACAACGTTTCGGAGTTGAATGCCGTGATGCAGCTGATAAGATTGGATGGGGTAAGCCAATCTTTTAACTTCTTTATGCTTTGGTGTTATGTTTGGCCTTGAGTTTTTTTTTTTTTCTGATCAGTTTTACTTTGTACAATCTTTGATATACTAAACAGAATTACTTGTGTGCACTTTATTACATAAAATGTCTAGATTTTTTAATTTGCATGGATAGTATGCAAAGATCCATTAAGGAATAGTTCAGATAAAATTGTGACTGATATGTTGCCATTAACTTTTGTTTTCCTTTTTGTATTTTTATTGGATGACAATGAACGAGTTCAATCTTTTTACAGGACCCTAAAACCTGTGAAAAATGAAATTTGAAGGGAAAGAGAGGGGAGAGATGGACTGCAAGTCCTTCCACACCTTTTCAGATTGGTGGGACGATATATTCATTTCATTTGATATATTACAACTTTAGGTTGCTGTATTGCATTAATAATCCTTACAAATATAATATATAACATCTGGTACTCCCTTGCAGTTATAAAATTATAGCAATGCCCCTACACTGCTCCTGTACTTCAAAATTTCAATTCTGCTCCTACACTCCCCTACGTATCACTTCCTAAAAGCCCTCCCCATGCTGTACATAGGTTTGAACCGTGAAGAGCTCGACCTTAAGAAACTGATGCCTGATCTTTGTCAAAGCCTAAGTAAAGATATTAATAATCTGATTTTCGTTCTTAACAACCCTAAAACTCTCTCTCTCTCTCTCACGCCCTATTTTCCTCCTTTATTCAATCTTTATCCCTTATCCAGTTATCCTTTGCCATATCTAGATCTCCTTAAATCTCTCATTCTTCCCACGTGATGCCTCCTAAATTTCTAACTAAATCTAATTAAATCTCCTAAGTCCATGAAAAATAGGACTTTCCAAGATCACCCCTACCTATCCCATGACTTTATGTGGTTTAAAGATAAGGCTTCCTAAAACAACTCGCACACCAAAAACTCACGCCCTACCTATCTTATCTTTTTGCATTTTTCTTCTGCGCCATTCTCCTCGGGTTTGGAGAAGCTTGACTTCGAGCTTATCGAACTCAAATGCCTTCTAAAAAAGTTGGTGATGTAATCCCGTCATTTGTCGCGGTTCTTTTTCTTCTTCAATAAACTCATAAATCAAATACTTGATGTGCTGCTTATAAGGGAACTCAAAGAAACCAATCATAGTCTTGATTTCTTTTATAAGCTCCTCATATAACCCTGGAAGATCGATCTTGATGCTAAGATTTTTTGGATGTTCACAATCTGCTGGTTACATATAAGATCGGCATTTGGAATCGATTATGGAGGTATTATTGTCTCTAAGGTAGAAGTTGACACTAGATCTATGTGATTGCGAGCACCATATTCTCGAAGAATAGTATTCTCTACAGTGTTTTAAAATGCGGGATGCGGCCCTGATGTGGTGGGGGGCCGATGCGGCCCGGATGCGGGTGCATCGCGATGATGCGGTCAATAAATGTAAAAAAATTCTAATTTTTTTTTAAAAAATAAGTTAATGCATAGAAAAAAATATGAAGGTGATATATGTGATAGTAGGTATTTTAGTTTAATGATTAACTTCAAAACTATTAGCTGTCGGGGATTCTGTATCCAGTTATTCACCCATACAAGTATTTTCACAGAGCAAGCATATCACACAATTTCTATCTTTGGGATTTTTTAGTTTAGCATATTTCCAAGCCGGATCGTTATTACTAAAAGATTGGGATGAAGACATTGCCCCAAAAATATGTATAATAGTAATATTGTACAAGAAGGAAAAAAAAATTACCGACTCTGTGAAGTACTGCTCGATTTCTTTATGACATCTGAAACCCTCGATTTCTTATTACAAATTCACCCTAACATCTCCAAATCAACAATCAAAGGCATCCAATGAACATCCAAGTATCAAACAACCACCAAATCGAAGATTTCGATGAAAAACAAATTCTGCCTAAATTTTTTTTTACCTTGATTTGATGCAAAAAAAGCCACAAAAATGGCTGAAAATCTTCGTTTAGGGCCCCTAATACCCCTCCAAACAGTTTCCCTAATATTTGGATGGTCAAAAAGACCATTTTGCCCTTAAAATAGAAAAAAAATTTGGCAGATACTGTAACAGTGGGATGCGGCCTATGCGGGATGCGGCCTGATGCGGCACATATGCGACCGCATCTGTCAAAAGCGCATATGTGCCTGTTTCTGATGCGGATGCGAGAGCATTCCGCATGATGCGGCCGCATATGCGGCGATGCAGCCGCATTTTAAAACACTGATTCTCTAATCGTCGCATTCTCTGATTCATTTCACGAACTGCGCTTCGAACATCCTCTATTACTTTGGTCAAATTTTCTAAACTTTGTCCCAAGCTATCATCCATAGTTGGATCTTACTTGATGGATCTTACTTGCTCTGATACCAACGGATGTAGGGAGAAATAATAAACTAGAAAAATAAAAACATATAATAAAAAGGGTTGAGAGAATATACCCTCTCAAGGTCTGCAAGGGAATCCACCCCAAAAAGATCTGTTCACAAGATCAACTTTACTCAATTCCAATGTCTGCTCTCTTTACAATGAGGGACTTCTTCCCTTTAAATAAACTTTAGAAAAAAATAAACAAAAAAAAAGGAAACAAAAAAATAAAACTCTCTTTCTCTCTTTAAAACCCTCTCTCTCTTTCTCACGACCTATTTTCCTCCTCCTTTCCTCAAGCTTTATCTCTTATCTTTTCCTATATCTAGATCTTCTTAAATCTTTCATTCTTCCCACATGATGCCCTTTAAATCTTTAACTAAATCTCCTAAGTCCATGAAAATAGGACTTTTCAAGATTACCCCTACCTATCCCATTATTTTCTATGGTTTAAAGATAAGGCTTCCCAAAACAACTCATACACCAAAAACTCACGCCCCACCAAACTTATCTCTTCCTATCCTTAAGAAAAAAAAAAAAACCTTTTTTTTTTTTGAATTTTTCTTCTGCATCAAAAAGCTTCAATGGCCTCCCTTTCATTGTGCTCCAACTGTCGATGGTGCTCTTGCAACTTTTGATTATACTGAACAAAGACTAGGTCGTTCAGTCGTTTTTGCTCTAGTCTGTTCCTTTACTTTGTATGCACCTAATACAAATAAACTCACTTAGTTACTGACTTACTAAGTACTAACTACTAAATATGTATGAAATTAACTATTAAGTAAGTATTACTATTAACTATTAATCTTATGAAGTGAATAACTAAATAAATAATATTACCATTTCAAAGGTGCTGAAGTTGCGCTCACATCCAAAAGAGCTGCAAGTCAGATTTAGTATGTTCATGGCCATTTGCCGCAAATTAGGGGTGCTTCGACCATAGCCCATCCACCATGCACCTATTTCATGTAAATGTAAAATTGTAAATGTAGTAAATTAGGTAGTTGGGTAATTGAAATTAAATACTCAAATTATAAAATCAAATTTAGGAACTTCTAAACTTACTCGGAGGCATCTTGGACCTCTGCTTGACTACCACCTCCTTACCTAGAGATCCAGTGGCGAGCCTCTACCAATCTAACTTCATCATTGCCTTATCCTGCACTTCAGGATCAGGGTTGAGCTTTACATTGCATTGGTTGAAAGCATCCATGAACTCAGGTCCGCTATGTACCTCATCAGTGTAAAAGTGACCAGGGTTAAGGTAGTATCTTGCTAATGTTGGGGTCTCTCAAGCTGTTAGTTCCATTTGTCTTCAATAATCTTCAAAAACTCCTCATACGTCTTTTTATCCCCCAATGATCTCTTGATTTCTTCCTTTGCGTCCTCCATGGCTTTGTAGATATGCCCCATAGCAACTTTCTTCTTGGTGTCAACCACCTTGAGAACCTTTGCCTAAGGACAAAAGACTAACAAGGCATACTGGACCTTGTTCTAAAATCTCGAGTCCATGATAATGTCCTTAACAACTTTTCCATCAACTTTTTTGGATCACTTTGACTTGGTCCTATCCTCAGACACAAACATGGACCTCAATTTTTCCTTCTGCTCAAATAAAGATTGCAAGGACAAGTACGAGGTGGCAAATCTAGTCATGCCAGGCCTCACCAAGTCTCTATTCTCAGTAAACTTCCTCATCATGGCTAGGACCTGACCAACATAGAATTCCCTAAGTTAAGTATATTACCCTCAATAAATCAATGGATTCAATGCAATAAAAATACTCAAAATAAGTAGCAAAATAACTAGAGAAGCATAATAACAATATATTATAATACTAAAATATATACCTGAATGTGATTGTACAAATAAATTGTGACTTTCTTTGCCTTTTGGATGGTTGTCATGAACGTCTTTCTCTTACCAATGGCCTCAAGCATGAGGTCTATACAGTGTTCTACACAAGGGGATTATAAAATATGTCGCCTCTTATCCGTCAATAACCTAGCGGCCGCATATTAGCTGGATACATGTCGGTCACAACTTGGACCACTTTATCCTCCCCTATCTCCTCTATACACTGATCAACCAAATTAAAAATGAACTCTGCATCATGGGACTTGTTTGAAGCATCGATAAAGTGCTTGAACATTGTCCTTAATGGACAATTCACCATGAAATTCATGATGCTTTTGTGCCTCTTATCAGTCCAGCCATCAGCCATCACTGTGCAACCATATACACCCCAAGCATAAATGTGGGTCTTCAAATAGTTATTCGTTAGTTCCACTTCTTTTCTGAGTATTGGCCCTTTAAGCTCATAAGCAGTTGGAACCCCTAGCCCAAACTGGCCCATTGCTTCCAACATAGTCTAGAAGCTACTCAAGTTAGCGGCATTAAAAGAAATGCCTGCTTGGAACAACCACCTCCTCACATATTGGATGACCTTATCTCTATCTTCCTTCTTGAAATGGGTCTCTAAGCTTGTTTGACCCCTTTCTCGTGATAGTACCTCAGGATCAGGGCGGGGGAAGAAAGCATCCATAGGCCCTCGTGTTCTTGGCCTATTAGAAGAACCGACCTCAGTATAGAAATCTTCTTCCTCTCTTTCAAAAACATCTACAGTCTTTACAAGTTCATCTTGTGTTATTCTCACCTCCTGTTTCTTGGTTTTCACCGCCTTCAAGTTCTCTAGCATCTCTCTCCTGACCTTAGCAGGCACTAGAGTACATGCAGCCAAATCCGCTTTCATGCCAGCTAAATGCTGCTTCAATTTGCTGATGCCGGCATTATAACTTTTGCAAAACTTGTACTCTACCCTATTCTTTTCAAGGGGATTTGGACAAGTTCCATAGTTCCAACCTAGATCAGTTGGCTTACTTCATGCACTAGAAGTCATTATCCTCAATGAGTAATAATTGACCGAGTATCAATCAATGTGAATCAAAATCACCTAATCAACAAACCTGTAAAACATATGAGATTAAAGAATTAAAGCTATTAAGAAAAACATAAGAAACTCGATTTAAGTTTTAAATGAAAATATAAAAAGCATAAGAAACTTGATATAAGTTTTAAATGAATGTATAAGATTAAGATGTTACTATGTTAGTTTTACAATAAGACTTTACTCATTAAGATATCATATAATTAAGACTTTAAGAATTAACTAATTAAGATATATCATATATGATAGGATATTAGTAAGATGTTAGTTTCAAAACAGTATGAGGTATGACTTAATATTACTTTACAATAGGACTTAAAATATATAATATCTTAGTTTCACTTTCACATAAGACGTAACTCATTAAGATATCACATAAATATATAATCAATTATTTATCAAATAAAGTAAAAAATAACAGATTATTAAAATATGACACATTATACCAAAAATGAATCAACTATTCATAAAAGAGTACGATATGTGCTCAATTCATCGACCAAATAAGGAAAAATTCAATTAATCACAAAAAAATCGATCTTTTACCTACAAACATGTAAATATATTGTTAAAGAAAAAAAAAGTAAAAGAAAAAACACATAATTCACAACATAATATATTGTAGCAAAATAAAATCAAAACCCTCTTTCAAATATGATAATATTTTAAAAATATCCAAATCAAATCGTTGTTGGAGCAAACCTCATCTATTCGGTCGCCAAAAGTCCTCAAAATCAACTGCTACAAACTCCAAATCCACCCACAAACTATTGCCTTTGTTTTGAGAAGAAATCGATAAAATAAAAATTTATTTATATTTCGATAAATCTCAAAATAGTGGTTTTAGGGGAGTTTTTCTCACCCTAAACGCCACGGTTTTTGTTTTGGAGCTTTAGAATACCCCCTAAAATCCCTTTTCACAATTTTTAATGGTGGAAACTCGCTGAGACCCATTTTCCTCCCTTTCGCAACTTGTCCCAAGGCGACGCCTAGATGCAGAATGCCTTATGACCACACCTTGATATAGGCAGTCGGGCGGGCGAATTTTCAAACATTGCCATGAGCCTATGTTGCGTGGTCACACTCTCTCTTTGGATAATCTTACAGTCTTTACATGATGGTCGATCTACCTTCTTAACTAGGATGAAGTCTATTTGGCTTCTATATGATCCACTTTTATAAGTTATTAAATGTTCATTTCACTTTTTAGAGTAGGTATTTGCTATTGCTAGGTTGTAGGCCATAGTACAGTCTAGAATAGCCTCACCCATCTCATTTATTTCCCTAAAAGCATGTCCTCCATGTACCCCTTTATATCCTCTGCTACCTTCTCTACATGACCATTTAAGTCCCCTCCTAAAAAGGACTTCTCTCCATTCGGTATGTCTTAGACTAGTCCATCTATGTCCATTCAGAATAGTCTCTTATTTTTGTCCTTTAGTCTTATATGTGGCGCATAAGTACTAATTACATTAATTAACTCCTCTCCTGTTACAAGCTTAATTAATAGGAACCTATCACCAACTTTCTTGACATTAACTACTTTATCCTTTAAATCTTTTGTCTATTGTTTTCCTATCCCATTTCTATTGTCTTTTCCCATATATGAAAGTTTATACCTATCAATTTCCTTAGTTTTTATTCCTTTACACTATGTTTACTCTTTTTTATCTCATTGTATCCACTAACTCCATACTCTTACTTGTTAGTATTCCTACATTTCACGTGGCTAGACGAATCCTATTATCTTGGACTAGCTTGTTGACCTGTACTCGTCCAAAATATTGTAGGAGCCCTTGCCTATTTTTCATTGCAACCGGGCGGTGTACGGCGCGTCGTTTTGGGGGATTGCACTAGTTAACCATTGATCATTTCTCACTATAACCAGGTTCCGGTACAATACTTCACTTATAGGGAACACCCTAGCATGAGCGGATAACGTATATTCAGGATTCATGGAAAGTTGTGGCAAAATTTTCCATTGGCTGCCCACCTAACACAATCCTCCTCTTTTACTTAGGCTTGGGACTGGCATTGACTGGTAGGGGGCCGGCCAAGGCAGAGTTATTCCCAGATATCCATACATGACACAAGTATATATGGATGTTTGGATCAATGTTTTGAAGCTTGCCTCGGCCTTAGAATTCAGCCTCGCACCGAATAAGTTGGACGATATTGCCCGAGTCCTGCTCGAGTTCACAAAGGAGTTGGGAGAAATTAAAAAGTTAGGGAAAAATCCCAAGAAATAGAAAATATGGATAAGTGAAAATCAATAGGATTGAGAAAAAAATATAAATAATAGCAAAATTATGCAAAAAATTGAATATTTTGACAAAAGGGCCCATTGATTTTGCTTTGAAGATAAGGAACACATAGTAAATCGCTCTTAGAGTAGATAATGTCTTTGGAAGATAAGCTTATCCTCTCCAATATAAAAACATATAAGAAGTGCAATTTAAAACCAAAAGGAAGGAGATATGAGCATCCTAGGTCTCACTATACGGAGGGGGTTCCTACTACCAAATATTTGCAAGATAGAGGGAGCAGTCCCTATCCAAGCGGCCCTCCTTGCCAAATAGACAGCTTTAATCAAATTATTCACCTTAATCTAATTATTTCCTAAGTCATAGTCGACAAGATTTGTCCAACTCTCATCCTCAACCGTATCAACGCTCTATGCCTCTCCACCTGGGGTCTCTTGCTCACCACCTTGGCTCTGCTGCTCAACACCCTGGCTGTGTCGCTTCTCAATCAATGTACGCTGCTCACCGTTTGGGCTCTGCTGCCCAGTTGCTTGGCTTTGTCTATGGCTATGTGGCCACACCACGTAGGGCCTCCTCGTCAGTGGAGCTCCTACCATCTTGCCCCTCAGCTGCCTCTACTTGTGGCTTCTGCAGATCCTCTTTGTTGGTCCCTTCCGCTTCTAGATTATCTGGCTTGTTGCAACCTCTTCTTGCAGGATCCTTCTCCTACTCCATTAGCTATTCATTTGCTAGCTCCTCATTGGAAATATAGTTGAGTTTAATTAGATTGTAATCGCTGTCCTATGTCTTAGCTTGTGCATCTTCCAATGTGCCCCCTTAGAGCATGGATCCATTGGAATGTACTCTAGTTTTCTCAATTCCTATGGAGGAAAGAGTTTGACTCAGGATTTTGATTGTGATTGTTACTGGGTGGGGAATAGTAAGTCCATATAATTCCCACTATTGTCACGGAAAGGAAATAAGATAAATTACTCAATTAGAATCTAGTAGTAGAATTACACATACTTATGTTATGGCTTGTGAAGTTTGAAAGCTAACCTGAATCTAATTTTCCTTGAGTTTTTCTAGCCATATTGTTTCCAAAATCACCATGAGCCTATAGAGAGCAAGCTAAAAAAATGAATTCCATATGCTAGAACAAACTAAAGAACAATACTATTTCACAACTTAAAGTTCTTAACAAAATAAAGGCTACAGTCATCTGATGGGCTGGTTCCAGGAAAGCATTTTAGGGATACTCCAGTGGCAGACTTTGGAACTCAGTGGAAGTAGTAGTTAAACGAAGATATAGAGGGACTCCAGGTCCAGAAAGTGGAATCCACATCTGGAGGGCACTGTAACTTTGAACTTTGATGGAAGTTCCAATGGAAACCAGGGAACTGCAGGTGTAGCTACAGTTTTGGGAGATCACAGAGGAGTAGTTCTCAGGGCCTCTACAACTATAGGAGCTTGGTGAGGCTTAGGCTTGGTCTCTACTCATTGGAGTTAGGAATCTTTACCTGAGGTGGAAATAAACATCATAGAGGCTGGAAGACATAGGAATCTTTACCTGAGATGGAAATAAGCATCATAGAGGGTGGCACTAACAACATGATTGTGGGTGAGCAAATGGGTCTTGGCATCTTCACAATGCTTTCTACGAAATTTTGGAGTATGCCATTGTGTTGCAGTGGTCCCTTCACCATTCTTGGATGGTGTCCAATGAATTGGCAGATGCACTTGCTAGAGGAGTCTCCATAAACTCTTTGGTGATTACTTCGTTCAGTGATTTTGGAGTCTGACTGTTGTACATAGACTCAATGTTGTAACACAAGAGATCACATACTTGTATACCAATTCTTTTATTAATGAAATATTATGTCTCTTTTATTAGTGAAATGCAGTTAAACTTTATACATGTACATAATGCAATTAAGTATGGTCTTATGTATTGATACATATCTATTAGTAGTATTTTATGTGCACTTTCATGTATGTTTAAGCATTTAACATAGTTTTCTTGAGACAAACTAGTATACTTGTGTTTCTGTTTATCAATTGGTTACATCTTTAATTCATTTCTTGCCTGTACTTGCACTCTTGCAGGCAAGGTGGATCATCAACCATGTTGGGTTATAATGCTTGAGGTATGTTCATTCATATAAAGAATTGTCTTATAATATAGGTCACTGTGGTTGTTTATCCTTCACATTCATTCCATGGAAACTTGGAAACTAAATGAAATAAAACTTTCCAAAATTACAAATGAATAAATAAGTGACATGCAAAAATGCGAATCAAAACAAACACAGAAGGGATCACTAAGATTCAAAATTGGTGTGCTTTATGGTTCTTATGAGTGCTTTTAAGGAGGCATATATCTCACAAAGAGAAGTAGATAGGAGACTTTGGTTAAGAGAGTCAGGTTATATTCTCTCCATGGTCATCCATTCAGCATCCAGGAATTATATGGGAGATGATGGCAGTTTGTCTCCTCGCTGGTGTGTTGGGATGTACCAACACTGATATGACTATTGGCTTTCAGTTTGTTCATTTGCTGAGATAGCATGTTTATGTGGATCACCACCTCCTGAATCGGGGTATTCTAATGCCCAACAAGGCCATCGTGTATCAAGAAAAGGTGGAATCAAATGATTAATCGTTACTAGTTATTTTGATTTTGTAGATAACTGATAATAGAGGCAATGCCTACCTCTATATCAACTGTAGATCTGTGTGGACTTTATGGTCCTTTGTATTGGATATTGTTGAGATGCTGTGTATCACACCAACATCTATCTTTACTTTGCTGGGATTGTTCTTCTTGAGGCTCGGAATAGGGATTGAAAGTTGTGCGCTATGCCCCTTAGCTATTCTGTTAAGTACTAAAGAAAATTTGGGACCAAATCATAATGTGGGTCCTTTCTATCTCAGAGATTTGTGGTACGCTTCCTATAGAATTAAAGTTTGGTGGGTTTCTCTTTGGAGAATCCTACCTGCTTGAGCTCGAGAGGTCAATGTCTCAACTGGTCCTTTAAAGGTAACTTGGATGTTAGCTCCCATTTTAGTTCTGATCCAGGAGGGGTACGTGGTCTACTTTGGGATGCCGATTGGGATATTAATATCATTATTGGTTTTATGGACCAATGCGATTGCTCTCCAGTAGACATAATGGGCCTACGTTTGACTTTGAAGCTCTGCTCCCAGGTGGGTGGTATCCCTATCATTAATGTGGGTGATTCCTTTAAAGTCATTTTGATGGGAGTGTGACAATATCCAGCCATTCGGCATTTAGCAATGAACTTTCTGAGAGTTGATGTTGGGTCAACAATGTCTAAGCTGCATATTATCTAATATGGATTCTTTCGTTTGGGTGCCATACTGGTGTCTGACACATATCGACTATTGACACACATCTCAACCTGATTCTTCCGGATTCTTCTTGTTCAATGACGATTGACTAAATCATTAATTTCTGTGAATTCAGCCAGCTTAGGCATAATTAATTTTCCTTTTTGGCTACTTATCGTGAAATGGAGTATTAGTAAACAATGTTGAATTTTGTCATATCTTTAAAATAGAGCATTGCTGCATGATCTTGTTCATCATGGCATGAGGAATCCCACACCTAGTACCTGTGTCTAACACTTGCACAAGTACCAGACTCCATGCAACATAGGTTGCACTTGTTAATGAGGGATGCTACTATGGTTGCAACTGCAGGATAGGAGTTGTATCTGTTGAGTTGGGTTGAGATGCCACCTTTCCGCTTCGTTGAATTTCCAATCTTTTTTTTTTCTTCTTTTTGTATTTGTATTCCACTAGTATTTTTCATAAAAGTATCATTTCTAACCAAAAGAACCAAGGATATGTGCTCCTAGTTTTGTAAAAGAACATCAAATATGGGACCTTGTATCTGTAGATATCTAATTTAGTAGGCATGTGTAATTACTGATATTTTGTTGCTGATAGTTGGGTTTCATGGAAGAAACTGTACCACTTTTGTTTGCCTTTTTTCTTCTTTTATTCCTAATTTAAGCAAATAAAGCAAAAACGAAATTAAGTGTCACAAAAACCTTGTAAAATGCGCTATTCCTCCTTAGTAAATGTCATAAAGAAGGATATATGCATATGCCCTTAAACGCGACAGAGAGGAGGCAGGCTGTAACTCCCTTGATCCATGATCAAGCATGTTGTCTCCCTTTATTTATTCACGTATCATCATCATCATCATCATCTTTATTATCATTATTATTATTGTTTTTGGGAATTTACTAGCATATACCCCAAGCATGTCCACTCCCCAACTTTAAAAACACTAAAGTCAAATTTATGCCAAATTCATCTGATCACTCCGTCCAGGGCACATGGGGCAGAAGGGACGGAAAGAGACTCTTTACTATTCTTGCTATTTATTTTCAAGACTTCTATTATACCTAAAACTTGGCATCTCTGACCCCTACTTACCTCTGGATTTCTGAGTTCCTGGTATTGTTTTGTTTTTAGCATTCTTCCACAATGGAATCTGAAAAGTGACCCCTACTTACCTCTGGATTTCTGAGTTCCTGGTATTGTTTTGTTTTAGCTCAACAGGTGCATAAAAATTAAAATCAAAACAAAGTGACACCCTCGGGCAATTGAGAAATAAGTTTTGAAAATATATAGTGGGAAAGGCTGAGAAGTCATTCTGCCCTCCTCGTCTCCTGTTTGTCTTGTGTGGACATGGTCAAAGAAATTTTTATGTAAAAATTCAGACTTTATGTTTTTAAAGTTGGGGATTTTGATTTAAGATGCTTAATGCATATGCTGGTGAATTTCCATTAATTTTTTGTTGAGGATGGTCCCTAGGTCCATCTGTGACCTTCGTGATCTCTACAGAAAGCTCTAGCAGAAGCTCTGAGAAGGGGCCATGAATTATTTCCATGAGAAAACACAATGGGGGTTCATGGACCTCTCACGATTGCAGTTTATATTTTTATATGTACTCTCTTTCTCTCTCTATTTTATGTGAAATGGAAGAAACCAGTCCTCGATCTGTACTATTAGCCTAGGTTGACTTTCTTTCTTATTTGAACAGACATAACAATGAAGAGGCATAGTGAAGAGGTAAGATAGATCCTTTTTGGATTACTAAGATGATTTTCCAGTGAATACCCAAAGGAAAGCCTCTAGGATCACATAATCTAACTCCTCTTCCTCTTCAGTTCAACATCTCTAATTCATACAAAGATTTTTAAGTGGTTGTGACCTATGATTCGCATATATAAAAACTTTCAGTTGTCCTTTAGGAGGACCAAAATGATGTCCTCCTATCTCATTTTGCAGCAATTTTTGGTTGGAAATTGTGGAGATCTCTGGTTAGCCAGGTGGGCAATCGATGGAAACATTTTTGTCGTGATCCAGGCAGTTTGAGCACTTCCCTGCCATTTTAATCTCTGTTTTAGAGTCTCCTTCTCAATTTCCTCCAACTAAATGAATGGATGGTGGAGATGGGATAGGAGAAACTATGCTAGTCCTCCTTTTAGGAGGACCAAAAGTTTTGCCTTCATATATGATGAGTGTAAAACCTGATTTTGGATAAAGGTGTCCTTATCATAATGGGGAGTGTTGGTACATCTTATTCCAGAGTAAAACTTAAGCCTCATTGCAATCATGAGTAGCCATGATTCTAAGTATTGACTGCAATACGCTGCCCCTATCTTGATGAGGACCCATTTCCAAACATCATCCATCTATATGTATGCAAGGGGCTTCTTGGTACATTATTCTACCATAAATATCATATGAAAGAAGAAAAATGGACATCCTTTTTTTTAGTGGATATTTTGGGCCAGGGGGCTATCCGAACTGAATGGGCCATAGAAGGGACCCTATTTGGATATGTACTAGAACCCATCTAGGTGTTCTGATGGAGCCCATTGCTGAGGTGGAAAAGGGTCATGGTCAATGGCAAAAATTTTCCGGGGGGGGGGTTGGAGGGCATTTTTAGCACCCCAAAATCCTTTTGTGCTCATTTAATGCTTGACAAACAATCTCAAAAGTAATAATAATTTGAGATTTTTCTAATGATTCAGGTGCATATGGTGGTGGTGGTCGTAGAGATGGACATGCTGCTGCTAGTGATGATGAAACTAAACCTCAAATGAGTTCATCAGATTAGTTTTCTTGTTTTGAGTTTTGCTTTTTTAAGCCTTTGAGTTTTGACGCTTTGGTGAGTTGTGATTTGTTTTGGCATATTGACATGTAATGGTCCTTGAGACTTTCTATTGTGGCATAATGGATGAATTTTGGGTGACTTTGAATCATGCAAAGTTTTAGTCATTCAATTTCAAGTTTCAAAGTCGTGTGTCTGAGTTTGAACAACAAAACATAATAACGCACACAAAAAAAGATGAAACTATGATAAAAATAAACATTCTACACATTTAATCAGGGGGTGACCAACAAAACCCCTCAAAATCATCTTCAAGGGCGTGGATCCTCCCTCCCCCGGCGCCTCTCTTTGTCTTTTTCCCTCCTTTATGTACAGGTTACCCAAGTATGTGAGCTCCTGCCTAGGCAGCTAAATCTGCCCTTCTTGAACGCTGTCAAACATAAGTCTTAGAGTTACAATTTGTGCTTGTGGCAAGTAGTCAGTATATGCATATGCCAATCTTCTACTTAATTATTTTATGTTATTTATTTTTTGGCTTGTTCAGGATATGTTATTCACATAACCATGTATTTTTATGATGATGTGTTCTTCACACAATTCATTTAAATTTTGTTTCTTCTGTATTTCCTTGTCAAGAAACTTTTAGAGTTCACATGATCTTGGTTAAAACCCTTGTTAAGATACTTCTAGACTTCACACAGTCTTGATTAAATATGAGACTAGGTTCTGGACGCACTAAATGATTTTGTTTTGCAGTCTTTAAAAATATAATGACTCTCTACTATCTTTCACTTGCGATATGGACTTCAATGGTTTGCTTGCTTATAGCTCCCCACTCTTGGTTATTGGTCCATGGCCATCCAACTGACAAGCTTTGCCTTCTTTGCTTTATAGGTTCTTGACAATCTTCCCCATGACCTAATTTATGCTGAGAATCAAACTAGTCACTGGCTGGAAGTTTGGCTTGAAAAACAGCACGAAAAGTATACATTTCCTTATATATCTGTCTAATTCATTACATTCTGTTTAGGACCTTTGCATTAAGTTTCTCTTGCTGGTCTTACTTCGTTGCTGTTATTACTAATATTATGATCGAGTCTATTGAAAAACGTTTATTGAGGATACACAAATTCACTTGCATGATTTCTATTTACCCAATGGGAGCTTTATTGCATTGAAACTCCATGTAATATTTTGACAATTGCACATGACTAGAATTTTTGAGATGGGAAATTCACATATAATCTTTCATCATTTGTGTATTATGCAACAAAAGATCACTTTAATGACTTGTGGACAGTTGTTATTTTGTATTTACAGTATTTGTTGTGCATTTTTATTCTACGTGTATGTAGTTACCATGGTTTTGTTAACTATATATGAATGTGTTTAACATCATCTCTTACATTTTAAGCTCTCTCTGGTTGTATGTGGTTATCATTCTTTCATTGATTATGAGTTGATTGTGGCGTATGTTTCAATAAACAAACTCTTTATTAAATGAAGTATAGGACTCCTTATGTATTTTTCTCTTCCCAGTGACAGTAGGCATACTATGTCAGTTTTTGATACAAGCATTCCAATATAATTGGCATAAGTGCTCCACTTTGTTTATAACCTTTACATTATACAATTTATTGATTAATTTTCTATTCTAGCATTTCTTCTCTTTGCTACTATTTGTAATGCTTTTGCATTCATTATTTCATGCTTCTGATCATGCTAATGGAACACAATTCCACTTTAAGTACTTCTTCTGGTCAAGGCCAAGATTTATTTATAGTTTTAAGCAATGAGTTTTCATGTTACTCAGGGCTTGAGGTTTTAACGGTCATTACTTTCTCCTGTTTTGGGTTTTTAGGTTCCTAAAATAAAAAACCTGGTGGGCCTTGGTTTTTATGTTGTTCGTGTGCATGCATATGGCAACTATCCTTCCAGGAGAGTTAACAAGTGGAAGTAGAATATGTTGTGGATCCATGGTTGCATTTGAGGCCAGGGTCCCTCTTTTCTTCTTGTTATTACAATTTATTCATGCTGCCCTTCAATGCTCTAAAAAATGCTAGGCGGTGCCTAGGTGGCCGGGGGGCTCTAGGCTGCCCAACTCCCAGGTGGGCGGAAGCGGGCAAAGGGTGTCCACTAATCTTGTTTTAAGTACAGATTTTGTATAAAAAATGCATATTTATGCATTTTTTTATTATCCAAACAAAAAAAAAACTCCAAGACGAGCCTCATAGAAAAGGCAAGGGCTCATTGATTCAAAAGCAGTCCGCCCAGCGTCTAAGCGGCTGCCCATGTGGGCTAGGGGGGCCAGCGCCCTGTTGCCCAGGGACAGCCCGCCTAGTTGGTCCGCCCGGGCCTGGGCGCATAGCCCAGGCCCCCCTAACCCACCTAGGCAGCCGCCTAGGTGCTGGGCGGAGCACTTTTTGAATCAATACACCATTGCGTCTTCCATGGGGCTTGTCTTGACGGTGTTGTGGTTACTCCCTTGTCCTGTGGCAATTCAAAGTGGCCACTCATCCCCATAAGCCATCCCACTTATCCAGTGATCACACCATGAAGCTCTTGTACATCATCCTACCTCCAGTCACCATCCCCAAACCACCCACGCCTTTTTATCCATCTATGTCCATGGCTACCCCATTTCATCCCTCTCCTTCACCCCCCATTATCCAGATACAAATTGGGATATTTTCCATTGCATGGTTGTTACCTTTTACTATGTACATGAGAAAACGAAGTATGACTGGTTGTTTTACAGTTGTGTCCCTTGTTCTATGTTGAATTTACTTAGATTTGTATGCTTTATAATCCTATGCATTACCTTCATTTATAAAAAAAATGACAATGAAAATAGACGAACGCATTGAAAGTCATGTGGTAGCGAACCGAGGTTGTCAGTGGAGATAGCTCTGCGCCCTTTGGAATCTACCTATAGAAGACAAACAAACTGACTGGTTCTCAACTTCCTCGATCTTTGTGGGAAAATTCATTAATAGTGTTTCATGAGCAGGGCAACCTCCTAGGAGCCATGGAGTATCTTGCAAGTACCTCCAGTCAATCACTTGGGCAACATGTCATGTGGATGTTTTATCGATTTCCATCTTAGATGCAACTGCATAATTGATTTAATTGAAGTGTACTCTGCTATTTGATTCTTTTTGTTGATCTTAGTTTAGACTGGGGCTGTGTTCTCTCTATATGTATCTCAAATGTAATTTGAAGTTCTTAATGAGTGCACTACCTTGATATAAAAGTTAAGGCATTAGAGCCTCCTAATGTATGTGAGGAAGCAGAATATACTGTTAAGTGGCATTCGATGTCATGTGTGTTGTTTGCTATTTCTAGGATTTCTACAGTTAAATGTCTTGTACATGCACTAGTTATCTATTTCTTGTCATATCCGTAGTGGACAACATGTGCAAGGTACAGCTGGACATCAGTTTTGCTCATTCTGAGTTTCTTTCCATGCTAGTTCATCTATGGTGGAGTCATACAGGCCATTACAAGATCCCCTGATTGCACGATGCGTTGATATCATTAACATGGATATAAAAGACCGAAGTTTGGGTGCTAAAGCCATATCAGCAGCAAAAAGCGTTTGGTCAAAAATTCTGCCCAGACCTAGAAGAGCCTGGATACCAACTGGCTGCTTGGTATGTCAAGAAAGATTTGTTCCTCTGCTAACCTGTGAAATGTTTCATTACTTACTGAAAGCAGAAACTTATGGAATGTTTCATGTAAAATTTCATGTTTGGAAAAACAGAAACTGTTCGATGTTTTGCACTGGGCATTGCCAAATATGTCATTGATTGCTTCTGACTTCAGCTATCTCCCTGATGTGAAGATAACCGGTGATAGAGCTCCTTTGGTATCAACCAAGGTGATTACTCGTATTCCCTTTCAGAAATATATTTGAAATATCTTTGCTTCACAAGTTTATCAAAAGAACATACATTTTCGATGAGAACATATTCTCTAAAGTTATTTGAATGGCAGTTGTCTTGTCTTCATATAATAACCGCTTTTTTTTATTCATGTAGTTGAATGCAACTTATTCATTAGTTTAATGCAACTTCTGCACAACATCTTATCTAAGAAAGAAATTAGCATGATTTTTAATGTGGTGGGATTGGATACTTGGTAGCCAATTGCAATTTGGACCAATTTAAATTTTTTTTCAAATAAAATTTGACCTCTTGTATTGAAAATTGGAGGCGAGTTACTCAGGCAAGTTCGAGTAACTCGCTTGGTCCAGCTAAGTTTTTTTTTTAAAGGACGAAAGATATATATATATATATATATATATATATATATAAGAAAAAACTAACAATAGCTGACCAGCTATAATGAATAGTGCTATAGGTGGAATGGAAACCGTCAGATCTTTATCATACGGTTCAGAAAGCATATCACTGTTTTAATTTTAATTATTTTTCTATAAATTGGATCATGATGAAATTTTGGACATGTGTACTAAAAAATAGGGCACACAAGTAAAAAAAATATAAAAAATATTTCTCAGAATATCAAATGACCGAAATACCCCTGAAAAATGATGGGGAGATTTTGGTCATTTTAAATTATTGAAAATAATGTTTTTATATTTTTATATGGTGCGTAATAGTGTTAGGTATATACACCCAAAATTTCATATTAATTAGATTTATATAAAAAAACTTAAAGTTAAAATAGTGATGTGCATTCTAAATCACATGATGAAGATCTGACGGCTCCCATTCTACCTATATACTATTTCTTATAGCTGGCCAGTTGTTGTAAGGTTTACCCATATATATATATATATATATATAGGTAAATGCTGAGATTAGCCCACTAGCTCATATGAACATATGAGCCAATGGCCCAGATTGAATCTGAGCCGATCTGACGGTCATGACCTCATTTCGTATTTGAATTTTATTATTTTTTCTACTAATCAAAATAACTTGAAATTTTACGCATGTGTTCTTC